AGAAGTGAGATCCATCACATTTTTCATCATTATCATTAATCAAGATAATTAACTATACCCAGAAAAACAGAAATGAACTGGATAGGATTCGTGGTCATGTAAGGCAGTGATATGTTAAGACAGAAATTAGAGAAAAAACAATTAAAATTTACAGCAGTGAACAAGTTAACTACAAATATCATCAATTCAGTATACAACTTCACGGTAATTTCCATAAAACTAGTTAATCAGTCGTTATTAATGGAAACAAGTCAATTTATTAATTTACTTATCATCAACGTGAAGTTATAAGGCAAAAAAAGCAGCATATGATAATTACAAATTACGTAAAGTGCAAAAGGAAGAGGATAGAAGACTTACTCCTTTTCACCAAGCTTCACTTCAGTTCCTCCATACTCAGGCAACAAAACATGATCTCCTTCCTTCACACTGACCGGAATCAGCTTTCCTTCCCTACCATGATGACCAGGACCAACAGCAACAACTTTTCCAGAATTCAGCTGAATCATTATGGGGCAATCAATTTTCAGCAGTGCAAAGAGAATAAGTTTCAATAAATACAATAGAAATAGGTGGTCTCCAGTACTTGAAATACACTCCAGCATTTCAAATTAAGATTGATCCTTTAAAATATAGCTTCGTCCCAAATACCAGCTGATGGAATCTATAGGAGTAGAATTTTTTATGTGAATTTAACGAATTAAAGCATTCATCGTTGATATACCCAAACCACTTTAAAGTGCCTATTCCACCAAGTTATAGCTCTTATATCTTAGTTTTCCTTTATCTTCTCTCTTCAAATATTATTTTCACACTGTTTCAAAGGGTCTAAAATGCAGAGACGAGTCTGACTGTTAAACCAGCATATCTTATAAACACAACCAAAGTCTCCAAAAAATAAATAATGTTGTATATGCCCTGAAAAGTACTATCTCAGAAGCACAAGGAACTACACAATTCAGTGATTATCCCATTCTCAGATAAGAGTAATGTACAACCTTTAAATCATAGTGTCACACTGTTATACACGTTCTCTGCTAACAGAGTAAAATACAATCTATGAGGCGCAGAAGACAGTTCTCTAATATTTGCATATTCTTTGGTAAGAGTAAAATAAAGCTTTAAAGCAAAATGATTCTGTGCTTATATGCTTCAAAAGTATGCAATTATCTGGCAAGAAAATTTCAAGAGTACCATAAACTACCCTCCAATTAGCTCGCCAGGAACAATATTGTTACTATGCTAATCCATTTGGATGGTACATCAATGGTAACATAACTCGAATACGTATGGAAATATCAAAAAAAAAAAAAAAAAAC